GCCCCGCCGCGCCCCGCCCCTGCGTACGATACCGTCCATCCCCGCGATGGCCCCGCCCGGCTGTGTTGCCTGCCGGGCGCAGAGCCACCAGCAGAGCCCCCTCTGTCCTACTGGCTCGTGTCGCTACACTAGCCCCCCCCCCTCCCCTCCCTCTCTCCCGGGTCTCTTTTCTCCTTTCTCCCTCCGGGTGCAACGACGAGAGAGGAGAAAGAAGAAAAACAGACGAAAAACAAGGTAGGTGGTTGTTCGCGGCACACGAAAAGGTAAAATAAAAAGAACTGGAGAAAAGGGGCGAAAAGTCTCTATTCCAATATATTTTTCCGACCTTTCTTTTGTCCTAACTTATTCTATTGATGGATTTTATTTTTACCTTCCTGAAGAGCCATCTCAATGACAGCAGTATATTTTGAACTGAAGACTCGCTTCCTTTTTAGAGCAGTTGCCTCTTGGCGGACAGCAGCCGGCGCGAACTACGACTTACGAGCGCCAAACGCACACAGCTTTGGTGTTTTCCAGAGCAAACGCAAAGTCACACAAAGGTATACTAACGATTTTATATCTTCGTTTTTCCGTATACGCTATGAAATGGCACGTGTTAGCAGTGGGTGGCTCACTTACCCCTCATACGAGCCACATACCAACAATATATGCATTAAAGTGGGTCGTTCCGAGATTCATTTTCAAAAAATGTTTGCTAGAAAGACGAAATCCAGAAATTTCACTTTTTGAGCCTTTGTACCATGAGAGCACCATGCAGAACTTAAAACGCTTTGCGGGATCGGAAAATATTATCCGTTTAATAAAAAAAATGCGTTAAATTTTCCAATGGACAGAGCGACTTTTCCGCACTATTACGTTTTCAATTCGAAAATCATTTTTCTACGACCCACTCTAATATGCATTGAATGGAATGAAAAAACGAGCACATCGCTGCAATAGCCGGGACATACCGATGGAAAGGGGAAGAGTGACAATTTTGCACACCTCTCCCCGCCTCTTCCGCGAAAGCCCGAAATGATCGCGGTTATTTTTTCATCGCGCATCTCGTCAGCGGGCAGCGGGCATATTACTATAGGGTGTCACGTACAGTCGGTGGAAATCCCGCAAAAAGAATATGGCGTGATAAAACATAAAGATAAAATCATCGCAAAAGTTGGTTGCGAATGTTTATGTGAAGAACACTGGTAAAACAAGTGTGCAATACTTGCACACCAAACGTGTGCAATACTTGCACACCAAACGTGTGCAAGTTGTGATTTAGCACATTACATGGTGTTTAACTTAAGTTGCACACTTATTGCGTGGTGTGCAAATTTTAGAAGTTTTGTAAACGTTTAAACTATGTACACTTGGACAAACACAGTAATTCTGTGCTGTCAATCGGGAACCATACGGTGTGCAACTGCTATACGTTTCGGAAGTGTCGAAAGTTTAAACACCAATTGACGTATAACATAGTTAGACACCACAATGTGTCGAGAAAATGCACACTTGAACTTAAACGTCAATTGGCGTACAAAATTAAACACTTGTTTTACCAGTGAAGATTTTCTGATTCTGTATAGTGGTTTTTATTTGTGAAAATTTTATCACGCCCTTGTGATAAAAAGTTGTCATGCGCCATTGGGGAAAGGGGGGGGGGGGAATCGCAAAACAGCATGCAGTTATCGCGTAGTTTACTCGGTTTAGTGAATAAGTTATCGCAAATCTAGTACCGGGTGATTCAGAGAAGACGCAGGTGCGTGCGGGTTTGCCTACCCGCTCTGCCCGTAAGGCGCCATGGCTCCTTGGGTAGGCAAACCCGCCCGCACCTGCGTCTTCTCTGAATCACCCGGTACGCTTTCTCAGCCGGGGAAAAGGGGCCACATGTGATTTACATCGACCCCCTCCCCTCCCTCCCCTTTCCTCTTCCCGCTAGGTCCCTCCCTTTCCTCTCCGGACGGCGGTATACACACACGTGTGGTTCGTTGGCTGAGAGGGGTGCAAGATGAAATTTGGGCAGCTACTCCTCCCTGGAGCACTTCGCACTCCACCAGGCAAGGGCCCACGGGAGACGGGCATAAAGCGCTGAAGTATGACTGCCTCCGTATGGAGGTCATGCCTGGAGAATCTCGGAGGGAAAGGGAGGGGGTTAATAAAATATATGAAGCAGCGGGAGACGAAGGAAAACGAAAATCTTGAATAGCAGGCGCATCAATCCGACGACTTCGATGTCGACTTTGCGAGGCTGGATTTGCGATAACTTTCACGCAAAAGCCTTGCGTGAAAGTTGATGTTTTGCGATTGCCCACGTCCGTCGCTGTGGTCGCCGTTCAGGGCGTAATAACTTTTTGTCAGGCAGCAAAAAAAACAAAAACGGAGATAAACTGTTACGAAAATCATCACAAAACAATAACTCGCAATAACTCGTCGTAACAATAACTTTTGCGAAGATTGCCTCATCTTAAGTTTTGTCAATAAGTATCGCATGTCGGATTCCTGTGGATCTCCGGCGGGGACGCGGGAGTAGTGGGAGATCGAATAAAAGCTTTAGGGGATGACGTCCCCACGTACTCACCCAAGGTGCACAGGAACAGTAGCAGTGACATCATCGTAGGCCGGTATGAGGGTCTTCTCCCTTTGGGTTCACACACGCATCCCTCCTACACTGGAAAAGGAGAAGATGTTGAAAACTGGTTTTGTTCTCATGAGATTTAATCGTGGAGACTGGGGGAGGGGGGGG